GGGGGCCACTTCTTGGCCAATGAGGGGCCAGGATCAAGTTTTGGCTGAGCTGGGAGGTGTAGTCATTCATCTTGGAGTTTCCATCAGACGTTGTATGACAGGAAGGAGCATGGGTGCTTCTAGACTAGGGCCAGATCCCAACACCACACACACACATACACACACACACACACACCCCATACACACACACACACACACCACACACACACACATACATACACACACACACACGCACACACAGACACACACACACACACATACACACACACACACACACACCACACACACACACACACACCACACACACACACACACACACACACACACACGCACACACAGTATATAAAGTCATTAAAATGAGCTCCACCTTTAAGGTGATGAACACACACATTATAATAAAATAACATAATATATATTATTCTGAGTACTTTCACTTTTGGTACTTGAAGTATATTTTGATGCTAATAATTAAAGTAAAATGTTTGCAGTATTTGTACTCTGTAGTATTAGTACTTCTAATAGAAATACTTCTACCACTGAAGTCAGGAGTGATCTTTCTGTCGTATTCCTTGAATGTCATTAATGATATTTCACAGTAGCTCAATTCAATTATTACCACAAATATATTTATTAGTCAAAGTTACAACATTTGTATTTATTTATTGAGGTTTAAATGTTTTGTTTTGATTGAATATAAAAACACCAGTTGCCGTTCGTCATACAATAAATACTAAAATATGTCTGCTGATCGTCTGTTACATCCTGAATCGGTCGATTGTGTGTTTCCTGCTCAGCTCGGCTTCTTCAACAGACGGAGGAGACGGGAAGAGGGGCAGCCGGCAGCCAATGGGAAGGCAGCAGAGGAGCTGTGATGTGGGAGGCGACGGTGATGCGTTCAGTCGGTCCTCAACGACGTGTAAAGTCCTGAAGATTCATAATAAGAATTATAATAATAAGAGCTCTAACAGAAATATGAGGAGCAACGTGGATCACATGACACACAGAGAGAAGTGATCTGACGTTTAACTTCCAACTTTATGAGTTGATGAGGAGCACCTGAACGCATCACGAGCCTCCACCTGTCACTCAGGGAACCTGATGCCCCAAACAGCCAATCAGACGATCAAACAACCGATCAGTCGATCAGTCGATCAGTAGCCACTCAGCTGAGGAACGAGCCACTGATTGAATGAAGCAGCTGGAACGTCGGCGCTCAGTCTGAACTGTTTTTATATTGTTTAGGTTTCAAGTCCCCGCTTTAAAATAATGACTTTTAATAAAAGACGCCACAGCTTCAGTTCATAATTATAATAAAATAACATAATATATATATAATATATATTATTCATGAGTGAGTTCTTTCATATTTCAAACACTCTCCAAAAACAAACTTTTACATTTTTTTAACTCTTAGAGGCAGTTTGAACCGGCAGCGTAGCAACAAGTGACCAACAACAAGCTACAGACGTCGTGTTCGTCCTCTGAAGGGACCGTAGCTACGAGTTAGCTTCACGCTAACTCTTCAAGCTAACTCCTTATTCTGCTCTGATGAATGAAGATGAAGCCAACGTGTCTCTAGTGATCACGAGCGTGACTGAGACAAGTGGAGCAAAGACAGGAAGACATTTACAGTTTGGAACCGGAGGAACCCGTGTGACCGCACGGGTCACATGACGCCTCACGTTGATGTCATGAACTTATGCTCTGAGCTCAAACGTCAACGAACGAAGCTGAAGATTTAAACTGAAGATATGAAACAATAAAACAGAACAGAGTCAACCAGCAGCTTATTACATATGATTTAATACTGATCAAAAGAAGACAATGCAGGACGAGCTAGGACGGCTGATTCTATTGTGCTCTTTATACTAATGGGAATGTAAACGCATCTTATGAACACATATTGTATTATTTCAGAATTTATATCTGATGCACTTTTGTTGTATAAAGTCAAACTTGAACTTTTATTTTTGTAAATATGAAAGAGTTAATGAGGATCGTGGCATTATTGATATGAAGCAGTAGTCTGTACTGATGTGTGTCTGTTAACACGGAATAAAGACGAGAGACGTTCACCGTGTCGTGCTTCAGCAACATCACTTCTACTCAGGAAGTCTAAAACATCTTTAGTCAACTTGACTTCCATCAGGCGGTTTATTTGCTGACTGACTTTGTAACTTTCAGTTGTGAGAAAAGTATTATTATTCATATTTATTCCTCTGAGAGATTCGATGTGATGTAAAGATGCTGTTGAGCTGAAGGTGGAGATATTTACATAAATCTATTTATAATAAACATTTAACAACACAAAGAGCTGCTAAACTTATTAGAACTTAAACATCAAGTCTTTGCATGTCCTGCCTGTCTTTTTCCACTCAGAGACAAACCCAGTGGACACACACAGCTGTGTCCATGTGGCTGATTGGACGTCTTCTCAGGTGGAAGTGTGCAGTCTGTTTGTCTATTCAACCCTTTTACTTAAAAAGTGTTGATGTTCACAGATGTGTTCGTCTCACCCTGTTTAAAGAATCAGCCTTTAATATCTCAGAGGACAAGACCTCAGTGTCTTCATCCAATCACAGACTCAGGACAGCTGTGGGAACATTGATATCAGCTAAGCTAGCTAGCTAGCCAAGCTAACGGCCATGTTGCTGTTGTGAGAGATGAGACGTAGTTTTCACAAAACTAAATAATACGACAAACTGAGACTTTAACTTACAGAATTATCTTTTAAATGATCAAACATTTGTAATTCATGGAACAATTCAAACAGATCCAGAGAATATGTCTCTCGCTGTTGACTCTCGTCCATATTGTCTCTGAAATAAGGTCCCATGGGGGACACCAGAAGGGGCGGGACTTAGCCACTCTACTGACGCCATAGTTGTAGTTTTCTGTGTGTTAGGATGAGCTGCTCTAAACGAAGCCTCTGTTGCTGAGTTGCTCAACTTTTGGTGAACAGAGAATGTTTTTGAGGCTTTGTCTTCAGCTCCTTTACCTTCTGGTTCATAGTTAAAGTCTCTTTAGACTTTAAAGACATCTTTTACTGACTGACGTAGTACTATTTGTATATTATATAATATATATTCCTCTACCTGTTATTGACCTATTGGTCTAGTCCGTGTGTCTACTAGTCTGCTCACATATCTTAATAGAGTTCTGCATGGACGATGAACAGGAAGTCATCATCAATGGTTCCCTCCACAAACAGCCAATCAGATCCTTCTTAGATTCGGGGCTGTGACCTCGCTGACAGAGAGTAAACTCTGGTGGTGAAGCCTCAGTGGAGAGAGAATGAAGGACGCCAGTGAACGCAAACAGAAGACTTTTAATTTGACAGCATTCATTCTGCAGGAAGTGACATCACACCTGACATCCTCTGAAGTTTGAATCAACACACGAGAATCTTTGGCTTCTTTTCAGCCACAGAAAAAAATAAAACATGTTTCCAGCTCCACCAGGACAGAAGTCACGACTCCTGCAGCGTTAGACACACACAGAAATATAAAATGAGCATCTGAATGGCACATCATCGTCACCTCAACCCCTTACAGCCCTCTGACCTCATGCTGGATCAACACACTGAGCTCAGACTCCTCACACGCTGCGTTTACATGTTCACGGAAAAAGTCAGACAAGTCAAAATGACTGTGTTGCATTTATGCTGCGTTTGTTCAGGAAGAAACAAACCTGTTAAATAAGCGTTGGTGGTCATGCTGAGACGTCCTGATGTTCTCTGTGTACGCTTCACCAGAACGTCTGCAGGCTGATGGAATAGAAGGAAGAACCAACGAGAACAAACCGCCCCCGAAGTGAAGAAGCTCCTTTCATCAGCGACGGAGGAGAAGATGAAGACGTTTCCTGTTTCATGTAAAGATGAACGAGCTTCTGACCCTGAACCCTGGCGAGTAAGAGGACGTTTCTCTCAGAGCAGTGAAGAGACTCAGCATTCAACCCGTCACATTAATCCTCAACACGTCTGGAAGCTTCTCACACGCTGTACATCTTCAGCACCGATGAGACGGGAAGTCAAAGTTCTTCTTTTAACCGTCGACTTTCATCAAAAGCATCACGTTAAAAGAAACGGACTCTTCCAGAAGGTTTCCTGTGCATCACTTCTTCTGGTTTCTCATCATTTAAATCATCTCATCTTCAGCTGCGTCCGTCTCTAAAACCTCTCTATGTGCATTAAAGATCTCTTCTAGTCAGATGGTTAAATCTGGCAATCCACGAGGCACAAACAGCAGAAGTCTTCCCAGGTCCAACATGTCCAGACCAGCAGAACCACAACTACTCCTTCACAATAAAACAGCAGAACTCATCATCAGGGACGTGAGGTCACTCGCAGCCAATAAATAAGAGTTAAGTAGAATAATGTGAAGTCACAGAAGCCCAATCATTTAAAATAACTCGTTCTTTATGCTTTAAAAAAACGATTCATCCAGAAATAACAGAAAGTCACAAAGACTTTAAAATCTCTTCATGGTTTTCTTTAAACGACCAAAACGAGATCGGCCGACGTCGTCCTCGACTTCAGCGATTATTAAAACTGATTATTCAATAAAAAGATTTCAACATTCATAGTTCTGTGCTCCTGTCCTCGGATACAGGTTTTGAAAATAAAAGCTCATGCAGCAATCAATCACTGAATATTTGGTTTGTTTTTAAGGTTCAAACACTACGCGGCCAAAAGTATGCGGACACCCGAAGAATTTAGTTTTTCTTTTTTAAAAAGAGACGAAGCCCAAAACTGTTGCAATAAAGCTGAATAATAATTATTATTATTTCTCTTTTCTTGTGAAATACTAAATAGTTTGGAGCCTTTAAAACGAGAGATAACGTCCTCAAGATGTCCTCAAGGACACGGACATACCAGGACGAGCTTGTCGGCATATTTTGGGCCATTTAGTGAATTTTAGAGAAAAACGACTTTCAGAAATAATTGTTACCAGCAAACCATTTAATATAAAGTAGAAGAACTCAGAGCCGTGCTGGTTCCAGTGAAACCATCCTTTCACAATAAAAGAATGTGTGAGGTCATCGTTCGTCTCTCATTCACTCAGCATCACAGTAAGATGGCGGCTCCATCGTCACGGAGATAAGGCAAAACAGGAAGCAGCGCCGCCGCCGTCTCTTTACCAGTTTCCTTTGCTGTGAGACAGATGGACAGACAGACAGACAGAGAGACAGACGGGCAGACGTCTGCGGTTGCTGCTTCTTAGCAATTAATACTTAAAATAGAAACAAAAGAAACCCACTGTTTTATAAAACTGCTCAAAGAACTTCCGGAGCTGAACCGTCATCCTAAGCACCGTTTGGATTTGTTAGAAAATGATAAAAAAAATATTTTTCTAAAAGTATCCGTCTTTCAGTGGAACTCCACAAACTCCTCCAGCGTTTTGGGGATCTGGTTGCGGTACGTGATCTGGTGCTGGCGGACAGCGCGCGCCGCCAGGCACTTGAGGCTCATCTTCATCTGCGTCTTCAGCAGGATCTCCGACACGCCCGTGGTGCTCTTGTCCAGCGGCGTCTTCTTCTGCTTGTTGGTCATGTCCGTGTGGGCGCCGGCCTCCACCAGGTTGATGATGATGGCGTGCAGCGTGAGGAAGTCGCTGATGGGCCGGTTGTACTGGACGATGACGTGCAGCGGCGTGTTGCCCTCGTGGTCCACGGCGTTGACCTGCGCGCCGCAGTCCAGCAGCAGCTTGGTGACCTGGGCGCTGGGGAAGCTGCACACGTCGTTGGTGTGGAAGTCGTCCACCGGCGTGCTGGAGCTGATGGCCAGGTGGAGCAGGGAGGAACCCTCGCGGGACCGTGGGTCCAGCTGGATCAGGTCGTAGATGTGCTTGTTGATGCGGGCACGCCCCTCGTTGCCGCAGGTGGTCTTGGTGGAGATGCAGGTCAGGTACAGGAAGGTGAACACGTTAGACTCGTAGTTGTCCAGGGCCTGCGGCAGCTCCGACTCGACCGCCGTGTCCACGCGTGCCATGCTGCGCTGGATCTCCAGCACGCTGCAGCTCAGCACCTGCTCCACCGCCGAGGCCAGCACCGGCTCCTTCAGGTGCACCATCTGGGAGAACACCTGGGCGAAGCGCAGCAGGTCCTTGTGCGTGTTGCGGTTGCCCTTCTGCCGCAGGCGCAGCGCGTGAAGCCACAGCTTGATGCACTGCTCAAACTCCATGTTGTCGGCGTAGACGGCGCCGCGGTAGATGATGGGGTGCGACACGTCGATGTTGTCCGAGCCCAGGACCCGCTCCCGGATCATCAGGCCCTCCATGTGCAGGGCGTCCCGGTCCACCCGGATGGCCTCCAGCTCTTGAGGAGTCCGGCACTCGCTGCGCCCGCCGTAGGCCTCGATGGCCGGCAGCAGCTCCTTGGCGACGACGCGTTCCGGGTCGCGGTGGCGCTCCGTCATGGCCATGTGGAGGTAGTGGTACGTCCTCTGGATGTCGTAGTTCTCCCGGTCGTTGGCGAACGAGGCACCCAGCAGCTCCAGGGCCTCGATGCGGCTGCGCGGGTCGCAGTCGGCGTGCGCCAGCAGCAGCTCCACCACGTCCGCTTTGCAGCTCTCCGCCGCCACCTTCAGCGGCGTCATGCCGTGTCCGTTCACCACCATGCCCGCCCGGCATCGCACCAGCTCCTTCACGATTTCCAGGTGGCCCGCCTCGGCGGCGAAGTGCAGCGCGGTGGCCCCGCAGTGGGCCTTGGAGTTGGGGTCGGCCCCTTGCTCCAGCAGGAACTGGACCACGTCGGCGTGGCCCTTGTAGGCGGCGATCATCAGGCAGGTGTTGTTGTACTTGTTGGTGATGCGGATGTCGGCGTTGTGCTCCACCAGGTAGTGGACGATGTCCAGACGCCCGTCGAAGCAGGCGGCCCGCAGCGGGGTGGAGTTGGTGATGGTGGTGTGGTTGACGTTGGCGCGGTGACTCAGCAGCAGGCGCACCACCTCGAAGTGACCGGCACCTGCCGCGCACCACAGCGCCGTGGCCCCGTCGATGACGTAGCTGAGGGACGGACAGGAGACACAATCAGGACCTGATCTCAACACTCAAGAACTAAATCTATTTAACCTTCTAGAGGTGAATAAGTCACATGGCAGCTCTTCTTACCCGTCGAACCGCACCGTGCCGGTCTGTTCCGTGTCCACCTTGTAGTGGTCCACGAGCAGCCGGACCACTTTGTCGTGTCCGTTCCGGGCCGCGATGATCAGAGGCGTGGACCTCTGGCCGGCCACGTGGGTCACGTGGCTCAGCATGTACCGGACCTCCGCCTCTGGGTGGTTGTGGAGCAGCGCGGCCAGCGTCAAGACTCGACCTTCGCTGGCCGCCTTGTACACGTAGCCGGCCAGAGACTCCATCTGGTGAGCCCGAGAGGTAGTAGTAGTAGGAGGAGGAGCCAGGACCCCCGCTTTCTTCTTCGCAACTGGCGCCCGCAATAAAGTCCACTCGTCCAAAGCGAGCCGCCGCCTCCCATTAAAATGTCGAAACCTGCCCCAGTGCACACATGAAAAAAAATGTATGTTCTCCGTAATGGCCACGAGAGAAAAAAAAGAAAAAAGAAAAAAACGTGACGATCCGGGGCTTTTTTTTTTACAGGATAATTAAAAAATTTTAATCAACTTAAATAAAATTTTTGAATTAAATAAAATAAAAAATTTGAAATAAATTGAATTAAAAATGTATGTTCTCCGTAATGGCCACGAGAGAAACAACAACAAACCGTGACGGATCTCGGGCTTGTTTTACGGGACAAGCGTCCGAATATGGGCTCCAGCTTCTGGGTGTCTGGCTCAGCTGAGAGAGCTAGCCGGTTAGCTCGTGTGCTAATGTTAGCGAGCTGCTGCGACAACAAACCGCCGCTCTTTAGCTTCCGGTTTGATTAAACCAAACGTACACAGCTTAACGGTCGTATTAACGTATCTCCTGCTGGTATTTCTGTCTACAAACTCAAAAAGCTTCACACATTTAAATCTCAAACACACAACAGCCACTTTCACCTTCTGCTAACTAGTCATCTGCCCGGAAGTTGCCGTTCAACTTAAAAACACCTCCGACGGGAAGCTTTCTCCAGCTCACATGAGTTCCACTACGAAGACTTCCTCTTTTAAAAAACAACAAGTTGGTTTCACGGTTTCGATGAAAACCAATAACATAATACGCAGTGGCACGACAACATAATAATGTACATATATGATTGGATGATATAACATCGTCCGTGCATGAAGTATATTTATGTCATTGTTCACATTGTACAATGACAAATGTCAGTTTATGGTTATTGCCTCATTTCATTCATAATGTATTTGTGTCGCCTTCCGAGAGAAAACTCAGAAAAGGAAAATAAATGTTAACCTTAAAGATGAGATTAATATTCATTATTTATGAGGTTACAATATTTATTGTCTTGTCCACGGTTCATTCATTAATACCATAAATTAAAAAATGCTTTCACATTTCTGCACATTCACGAGGAGACAACCAAGTTTCACAATAACTTCAATCTGAACAACAATGTGGATTCAATGGTTAAAAACTATTCCCAACCTCGATGATCGTTTCTACATGTTTTAAATAAGTTTAATAGTTCCACAGACACACATAGACCTGTGTGTGTGTGTGCGTGCGTGTGTGTGTGCGCGTGCGTGTGTGTGTGTGTGTGTGCGTGCGTGCGTGTGTGTGTGTGCGCGTGCGTGTGTGCGTGCGTGTGTGCGTGTGTGTGTGTGTGTGCGTGTCTCATTGGCTGTTGTCGGGTTACAGGCTGACAGTATTATACACAGCGTGAATGTGACTGACTTTAAGAACAGCCTCATCCTGCTCTTCAGGTTGGGCTGTGAGACTCAGATCATCACAGATAATCTGGATTGATGATGAAATATTTACATTCAGTCACAGCTGCTGAACATCTGGCTGACATGAAGCATCTCGCTCTGTTTGTTTTCTTTTTCACACAACAGAAACCTTCTATTGCCCTATAATAAGACTTTCTGATCTGTCATCTATAATTCTCTGTATTCTACAGGATCTGGGTTTGATATCATTTAATTTGAATCTGCTGCTGTGATCCTCATCCTGACTGAGCTAACCTTACTCAGTACATTTACTCAAGTACTGCTCTCATTAAAATGAGCTCCGCCATTAAAGTGATGAACACATTAATGAATCAATAATAATACTTTAATATATTATATACATTATGAGTGTTTTTACTTTTGGTATGTGAGTAAATGCTGATGATAGTACTTGTGTACTGTTACTGGAGTAAAGGATGTGAGTACTTATACAGCTTAATGACACAACTCGATTAGCCATCCATCCATTTTCCTCCGCTTATCCGGGGTCGGGTCGCGGTGGCAACAGGCCAAGCAGGCTGACCCAGACTTCCCTCTCACCGTCAACATGTTCCAGCTCATTCTGGGGGATCCCGAGGCGTTCCCAGGCCAGCTGGGAGATGTAATCCCTCCAGCGTGTACTGGGTCTTCCCCGGGGTCTCTTCCCAGTTGGACGTGCCTGGAAAACCTCCAGTGGGAGGCGTCCAGGAGGCATCCTAATTAGATGCCCGAACCACCTCAGCTGACTCCTTTCGACGCGAAGGAGTAGCGGCTCGACTCCAAGCTCCCTCCTGATGACCGAGCTCCTTACCCTATCTCTAAGGCTGAGCCCGGCCACCCTACGGAGGAAACTCATTTCGGCCGCTTGTAGCCGCGACCTTGTCCTTTCGGTCACGACCCAGAGTTCGTGACCATAGGTGAGGGTAGGAACGTAGACCGAGTGGTAAATTGAGAGCTTTGCCTTCCGGTTCAGCTCCCTCTTCACCAAGACGGTCCGGTGCAGCGCCTGCTTTACTGCTGCAGCCGCACCGATCCATCTGTTGATCTCCCGCTCCATCTTACCCTCACTCGTGAACAAGACCCCAAGATACTTGAACTCCTTCGCTTGAGGTAAGCACTCCGTCCCCACCTGGAGGGAGCAATCCACCGGTTTCCGGCAGAGCACCATGGCCTCAGATTTGGAGGTGCTAACTCTCATCCCCGCCGCTTCACACTCGGCTGCAAACTGCCCCAGTGAATGCTGGAGGTCACGATCCGAGCAGGCTAACAGGACCACATCATCTGCAAACAGCAGAGAGGCGATCCCGAGACCCCCGAACCTGACATTCTCCACCCCCAGGCTGCGCCTAGATATCCTGTCCATGAAAGTCACGAACAGGACCGGAGACAAAGGGCAGCCCTGGCGGAGGCCAACACCCACCGGGAACGTGTCTGACTTATTGCCGAGAATGCGGACACAGCTCCTACTGCAGTCGTACAGAGACCGGATCGCCCGTTGTAATGGGTCCGGCACCCCATACTCCCGCAGCACCCCCCGATGGACCCGGTCGAAAGCCTTCTCCAAGTCCACAAAGCACATGTAGACTGGTTGGGCAAACTCCCAGAACCCCTCCAGTAGTCTTGCGAGGGTAAAGAGCTGGTCCACTGTTCCACGGCCGGGACGGAATCCACATTGCTTCTCCTGTATCTGAGGTTCGACAAACGGTTGGAGCCTCCTTTCCAGCACCCTGGCATAAGCCTTCCCCGGGAGGCTGAGTAGTGTGATACCCCGGTAATTCGAGCACACTCTCCGGTCCCCCTTTTTGAAAATGGGAACCACCACCCCGGTCTGCCAGTCCTTTTGCACTGATCCCAACCCCTATGCGACATTGAAGAGGCATGTCAGCCAGGACAGCCCAACTATGTCCATCACTTTCAGTATCTCAGGGCGGATCTCATCCACCCCCGGCGCCTTGCCACCAAGGAGCTTTTTGACTACCTCAGCGGCCTCTGCCAGGGATATGGGTGAGCCTCCCCCTAGATCTTCAGGCGCTGCCTCCTCTGCAGAGGACATGTTGGTCGGGTTTAGGAGTTCCTCAAAGTGCTCTTTCCACCTCCTGACGATGTCCCCTGTCCGGGTCAGCAGTTCCCCCCCCCTGCTGAGAACAGCCTGGGGTAAGCCCTGCTTTCCCTTCCTGAGCCGTCGGATGGTTTGCCAGAACCTGCTTGAGGCCAACCGAAAGTCCTTCTCCATGGCCTCCCCAAACTCCTCCCATGCCCAAGTTTTAGCATTCGCGACCACCGCAGCGGCAGCCCTTCTGGCCTGCCGGTACCTGTCAGCTGCTTCGGGAGACCCCTGGGCCAACCAGGCCTTGAAGGTCTCCTTCTTCAGCTTGACGGCTTCCCTCACCTCCGGTGTCCACCACCGGGTTCTCGGGTTGCCGCCACGACAGGCACCGATGACCTTCCGGCCACAGCTCCTAGCGGCTGCGTCCACAATAGAGGCTTTGAACATGGTCCATTCGGATTCCATGTCCCCAACCTCCCTCGGGATGTGAGAGAAGTTCTTCCGGAGGTGGGAGTTAAAGACCTCCCGGACAGGGTTCTCCGCCAGACGTTCCCAGTTCACCCTCACTACACGTTTGGGCTTGCCGGGTCTTTCCAACTGGTTCAACTGCCATCTGATCCAATTCACCACCGGGTGGTAATCAGTTGACAGCTCTGCTCCTCTCTTCACCCGAGTGTCCAAGACATACGGCCGCAAATCAAATGATACGATTACAAAGTCGATCATTGATCTCCGGCCTAAGGTGTTCTGGTACCAGGTACACTTATGAGCCACCTTATGTTTGAACATGGTGTTCGTTATGGCCAAACCGTGGCAAGCACAGAAGTCCAATAACGAGACACCATTCGGGTTCAGATCGGGCAAGCTGTTCCTCCCAATCACCCCCCGCCAGGTTTCTCCATCATTGCCCACGTGAGCATTGAAGTCCCCCAGGAGAACTATGGAGTCGGTAGGTGGCAACCTTTCCAGGACCCCTCCCACCGACTCCAAGAAGGCCGGATACTCTGAACTGCTGTTTGGTGCGTAAGCACAAACCACAGTCAGAGCCTTGCTCCCCGCAACCCATAGGCGCATGGAGGCGACCCTCACATTCTCCGGGGAGAACTCCAACACAGCGGCGCTCAGCCGGGGCTCGTGAGTATCCCCACTCCCGCCCGGCGCCTCTCACCCTGGGCAACTCCGGAAAAGGACAAAGTCCAACCTCTCTCCAGGAGCTTGGTTCCAGAGCCAGCGCTGTGTGTGGAGGTGAGTCCAACTATATCTAGCTGGTATCGCTCCACCTCCTGCACCAGCTCTGGCTCTTTCCCCGCTAGCGAGGTGACGTTCCACGTCCCTAGAGCTAGTCTATGCTGCCGGCGATCGGCTCGCCCAGGCCTCCCGCTTGACCTGCCGCCCGGTCTGCATTGCACCCGACCCCGATCCTTGTCCCTGCGGGTGGTGGGTCCACAGGGTGGCTGCTCCATGCTGTTTATTCGGGCTGAGCCCGACCAGGCCCCATGGGCGAAGGCCCCGGCCACCAGACGCTCGACGAGCTCCCCTCCTGGGTCTGGCTCCGGGAGGGTGCCCCGGTTTCCCTGGTCTGGGCGAGGTGGCTAAAGTCCGTGGGCTGCTTATCATTAGGGTCGTTTGAACCGCTCTTAGTCTGGGCTCTCCCCCGAGACCTGTTTGCCTTGGGAGACCCTACCAGGGGCTAATGCC